GTTGGGCTTGTTCAGCCTGGAGAAGAGAAGGCTGCGGGGTGACCTCACTGCAGCCTATCAATACCTGAAGGGAACCTACACCCAGGAGGGGAGTAAACTCTTCAAAAGGGCTGACAACAGCAGGACTAGGGGAAATGGATCCAAGTTGAAGGAGGGAAGATTTAGGTTGGATGTTAGGGGGAAGTTCTTTACAAGGAGAGTAGTTAGGCCCTGGAACGGGCTGCCCAGGGAGGTTGTGGATGCCCCGTCCTTGGACGTGTTCAAGGCCAGGTTGGACGGGGTCCTGGGCAACCTGATCTGAATGTGTACGTTTGGTGGCCCTGCTGGGCAGGGGGGTTGGAACTACATGATCCTTGAGGTCCCTTCCAACCCGGGTGATTCTGTGATTCTGTGATTCTGTGTGCACTTTTTCATTATCCTAGCATGGCTTCAGATGTGTCCATTAGCAGGGTTCACAGCCAGGCATGGTTACAGCTGTCCTGCAGCTACAATATAGGTCGGCTGGGGCCCTAGGGGCCCCAGCCCAATCCTGGGTGAACAGAGCAAGAGGACTCACTGATTCTTCTCATCTCACTGTCCATGGCCATCACAAGGAACTGACTGAGCAGAACAGGCACAGTGTCTCTCAACTTCCATCAGCTTCCAACAATCTGCAGATCAATAATTTCTTGAACCAGAGATGGTACCATAGATGTAACAGCCCAGATGATTTTTCCTTGCATAAATTGATGTAATTCCTCTAGAAGTCCTTATACACACTTGGCCCCCACAACATGTGCAGTGAATTACACTACTTAGCTTTCCTCCATATCTCTTTCTTTTTTTTAACAAATCAATTGTTCCTTGAAAAAGCAAATATACATGTACATTTGTGTAGATAAATGACTGCTGAATTCTTATGAGAGATTGAGAACAGGCCTTGATCTGGTACTGCTATAGAGTATCAGTTGATTTGAACACTTTGCTACTACCACACATGCAAATATCACATTTCAGTCGCGGAGAGAAAATAAAAGGATTCTTGGAAAGAAATGATACAGTTCTCTTTGTTTTTGTAAAATCTGGCAGCCAAAATGCTGAGCAGATAAAAGCAAAAGTAAAGGGCATAATGTAAGTAGAAATGTTATTGTGAAGATATACCACCAGGGACTAAACAAGGGCAGTCATAGAGTCAGCACCATTTATCACCACAAAAAGACTCAGCACTCCTATTGCAATCTTCTGTTTCTATGGGAAAGTTATTCTGTTAGCTTTCTACCCATTATGATAAATATGACACAATGATTATGCACATATACTCTTTCCAAACATAATTATGCTCTCATGATAAAGAAACACAATTTGTCAGTCAGAAAATATTTAAGGTATGGTTGGAATGGAATTATCTTATTGATAATGCACTTGGGTTACTTAGTGCAGCATATAACTGGGAAATGCTCAGTCACTCTATGTATCACACAGAAAATTTGAGAAGTAATGCTGCAGTACTGGACAGATAACTATATCAAGAGAGTATCATTTACTGCTGGTACCAAAATGCAGGCACATTTTCCCGTTTCTCTGCAATGGGAATGTTCTCATGTGGGATTACAATACTGTGCCCTTATACCTCTGTCACATTGCCTTTTGAAGAGCAGGAAAACTTGCCCCATCCTTGAATATTTTTTCTTTGGACAGAATGCATTAGATTGAAAGAGTAGTTTTCAAACTCAGCTTTCTGGTGAGCTTGCTGCCAAAGCTAGCTGGGCGGATGTGCTGTAGGACCCAGCTTAAGGCTTAGCTTGCAGCATACTTCCAGCCCATCCTTTAGTTTCTCCAAGAAACTTCCAGGTAATGCAGTCCCCAGTGTCTTGGAAGTGAAGTCACTCTTTTCCCCAATAGCCATCAGCTCATGCCAGTGGTGCTCTACTGGCTTTGAAATAGTTATGAATAAGGAAATTTCCATTCTCCTCATGCCTCCACATTCTCTTGTTTTCCTTTTTTTTTTTTTTTTTAATTTTTAATTTTTTATTTTTAAATTGAAATATCTGTTTTAAAATTACCTGTGTGTGGAACAGTCAACTTACTGAATACACTTGAGCTGCTCCAATTGTTTGGATGGGGGTATAAAGAGGTATGCTCCATGCTTTCTGGAGAACACTTATTAAGCAGGTTTCTCATGGAGTTAATGCTGTCCTAACCATAGTTAAAAAGGCATCTTACCTTCCCATGTTTTTTCTGTTTAGAGCCTATCTTCAGCAGCTGGATCACTCTGTCGTACCATGGATGCTTACAGTGCATGTGGAAGACATAACACTGCTTTCCTTCTGTTCGTTTTTCCAGGGCATCCCATGAAATAACATGATGACATTACCCTGTGATTTACTACTGTTCCTTTTTGCTTCTCATATCTCTCCACTGCAGAGTGCAGTAAGCTAACCTTCTGCTCTGTTGTCTCAATGCAATTTCCCTTATCACCTCATGGGAGCTAAGTCCATATCTTCTTCATAAGCCTTTGATTCTGCTTTAAATAACAATCTTCAGATTGACATTACAAAAAGTGCACTGTGCTCCCTGCTGTCAATACAGTTTGGTTCTGTAAATAGATGTATTACGATACTCGTAGTAGAAAATTATTAACAGTGCAAGAAAACAACATTTGCCTAAACTCTCAATTGTCCACCTGAAGGGAGCCTGAATATCAGAAACATCTGTATTTATTTTTATACTATATAACAATTTGAGTCAAAAGTACTGTTATTTCATTCTCTTGATTAAATGGGCACACAGAGTGCCTGTTAATGGAAATTAAATAATGCACTGTATGAGAGAGGAGAAGGTTGCTGAGATAGAAATAAGTACTTCTGGTGAAAAGGAAAACAGTCCTTAATATCCATGTCTGTGTGCCAGGTAGAGTATTCATGTGCAATTTACCTGATGTATTTGCAAGGAGTTCTCACAAGACAAGGCAGCTGGAAACACAGACCAAATCTCAGCTAAGGGTGAGCCCAGTACCCAGTCAGTCTGTTACAGCCACTACAAAGCAGTGCACACTGGTAAATAACCACACCGTAATCACAAAATGGTTGCATTAATCCAAAACTGCAGTGTTCTAATGCTCTAATAAATAGTTGTAAGTTGCATCCATTATCAAACATTTAAAATAAATTATTCAAAATACCTGGTATTAAATTATAGGATGTGCTTAATTCCATCTTTTGGCTACTTGCTCTCAATGTAAAATTATGTCATGTATTTAGTCTGGTGATGAATGTATACGCAGAGGTAACACAGACTAAGTACATTTATATGAATAAGTTTTCATGTATGCAGTTTCCACAAAAAAGACCAAAAACAAAGTCTTGCCTCCATTCTTAGATTTATCTATGATGGATCCGAAGGAACACCAGAAGGCAAAATAGGCATTCCACAAAAGCACTGCATATGCTGCACCTTTTCTGCTTCTACAGCTGACATTACAGCACCACTGTATAACCACAGTACTGAATCTCAAAAATATCATGAAAGTTCAAACAAGGGATGTCAGAGGACAATTTCCAGTGATACAAATCCAAAGTACCTTCAATGAGGTCATGCCAGGGTTCACACCGGGATACTATAAAATGCCATTTATTAATGGGGCCACATGTTCAAAAAAGACACTGTTACCACTGTGTTACCACTGTATTACCACTGTCAAGGTCACAAAACACTCATAAAATCATCACTTAAAATGCTAGTCTTTTTTCCAGTCAAGAAGCAGTGCTCAAAACTGAAGTGTTGCTGTCCTTAGTTCTAAAATGGCTGCAGTGAACAAAAACTGGTAATGCTCACATACTCTTCCATAGAATCATAGAACCATAGAACAACAGAAGGGCTTGTGTTGGAAGGGACCTCAAGGATCACCAAGTTCCAACATCCCTGCCACAGGCATGATTGCCAGCCACAGATCGAGTACTCAGTGAGATTGCCCATGGTCCCATCCATTTTGGCCTTGACAGCCTCCAGGGATGGAACATTCACAGCCTCTCTGGGCAGCCTGTTTCAGCATCTCACCAATCTCTCAGTAAAAACCTTCCTCTTGGCAGCTAATTTAAATCTCCCCTCCTTTCATTTAAAACCATTCCCCCTTGTCCCATCAATATTTCCACATATAAAAAGTTGTTTTCCTCATATTTATAAGCTGTTCTTAAATACTGGAGGGCCTCAACGGTGTCTCCCCACTGCCTTCTCTTTTCCAGGCTGAACAAGCCCAGTTCCTTCAGCCTGTCTTCACAGGAGAGGTGCTCCAGCCCTCCAATCATCTCTGTGGTCCTCCTCTGGGCCCTCTGCAAAAGCTCAACATCTTTCCTGATTGGGGGCCCCAGACTTAGATGCAGTACTCCAGGTGGGGCCCCACAAGGGCAGAATAGAGGGGGACAATCACCTCTTCTTCAGCCAAAGGACAATTCGAATTCTAAATTTTCTGACTAGCTTAAAGCCTTAAACTTCTACTAGATAACACAAGCGACAGGTTGAGCAAATCAATTTTAGTATGCATCACAGCAAGTTCCACTGAGAGCTTTATCAGCTGCTTATGAATGCCTGAGGAGAAGGCTGATACAAACAACTACGCAGAAAGATTAAATATATTCCCCACGCTGACATTCATATTGACTCAGAGCTCACAAAAACCTCACGAAGTATTAGCTGCAAAGCAGTACCCATCCAGTCCGCTCTTTAAACAGATTATGTGTCATTCTGTCAGTCAGGACCTTTCATCAGAAATAAAACAGGTAAAAGTAAGTGAGAACACACAGACAATTCCCTTGCCTCAAAATTTGCTGCTTTTACAATCGCTACAAATAACAACTACATGAAAAGTCATAGAAAGAACAATATTTGGATGAATGGGCTGCAGACGGCAGCAATGAACATTTGTGTTTGTCCTGGTAGCTTATTATACTGCATGCCAAAGGAGCAGAGGAACACAGAAGAAGGTCTCACATTCCCACTCTTACTAGTCAGCAGTAAATGGTGCAAGTAGGACTCCTGGTAACATCTATTTGCAAACACATACATATCAGCCAAAAAGTAAATGGATAGAAAGGCTGTAGAACTTACCCATTTCAGTGCTTCTTAAGCTTTTTTTTACCACTTGCTCATCACATCTTAGATGACACACGTGCTGAACAATTAAAAAACAAAACAAAACAAAACAAACTATTAGCAGAACATGGAGCCAAATATAAGTAAAGAAGTGAATAAAAATAATGGTCAGTGAATATAAACAGGTTGTCTCCATATATGAGGAAAAGGTATGGCAAAATCTGATATATTTTTCTCTGCTTAAAGTTTGGCTTTTTCTTCCAATAAAAAAAAGTCTGAGAAGCAATGGTGTAGCCTATTGTTCTGACCTAAACTTTATGTTGGTCATATTTGCTCTGATCACAAAGGGTTCCACTGATGGACATTCTGCATCTTCCACAAGCAATGCTCAAAGCAAGCTAGTGCTCTGCTGACAAGTAATCTGTTGGTCAGAGTGTGGCTCCTGTAGTTCACTCATTTAGCAGATTCATAAGAAAATGAAACAAAAGAATATAAAAACCATGTATGTTTCACACACTCATTCTTCTCTGCAGAAGAACTTTAATTTGTAGAGAGGAATTAACAAAGAATAATTAAAATCTAAACATTAAAGAATGAAACATTGAAAATCAGTGGTCCCTAAGACAATATCAATGACCTCACTCAACCCTGCTCTGAAAGTCAACGGAAAAGTTGTGGTACTAGAAAGCTAAATCACTCAGGGACTAGCATTTGTTTATACTATGGCATTATGAGATGTTTATATTATGGCATGATACGATCCTTTCACATTTGCAACTTTTGGATCAGATCTTTATTTATCCACAAGGAACTGAAAGGAATTTTTGCAGTGTTATTCTGGTATCTATCTGTAGATAGCAGAGAAAAATGACTTTACAGCTGCACAGCTGGCTAAACCTGTTCAGAAAAGGCTTGGTATGGGAGGAGGAATAACGCTGCAGCTCAGGAATTAGGGATCACATGCTCCTGTTATTGGCACATGAAAACGTGAAGAAAAATATTACAAAATCTTCCTTCAACTCTTAGGAGTGAGCCAACATGTCCATCTGGTATGCCAGGCTCACATAAGGATACGTGTGCTGCAGTTTAGGCGCTGCCATGAAGTGCAAACTAAGGTGTGGTATGTAGGCGGTAGGCACTGTCAGCAAAAAAGCAATTTGCTCCACAGTAGTACTGTTCCTTGGGAAATCTCTAACGAGGTAGCAAAAGCAGCATAAATGGTCATCTCTAGAACCAATTTTGTGCTACGAAACCAAATCCCTTACGCTCCAGAGAATACAGCCAATCCTGTCTGATTACCCGACAGCGCCCGTCACCTTTTTTTACTGACCTGTCAAAATCAGCAGTGACGTTCTTGTGTAGAGCCTGGGAAGGGACAAGGTCAGTGGAGATTCCTCATCCTGGAATTCATTTTTCCTTCCTGTCCAACACAGTCCTGGTGCTCTGACTGGAGCAGTCTGTGAAAGACAGATTATATCAGCATGGTTTCAAAATACATTTGCTTGTTGTGTGCACATGAATATGAATTAATAATACTTAAAAGCACCTCAGTGCTAGTAGAATCTAAAACTGGTAAGCAAACATTAGACATGCAATGATTCTCTGCAGGGAGCTAAGGACATTCTCTCTTCCTTTTATATCAAAAAGCACGGTAATTTTCTATCAGTTTAGCTTGCTGGACATGAGATGAAAGATAATAAAACAGCTAGTAATTAAGTATGGTTAGGAGGCAAATTATTAAATATAAAAAATATTTTTTAAAATAATCCTCTGAAACAAGGCTTGTCACGTTGAGCTAAAGGCTGACCTTCATGCTGTGTAACCTTCGTTTGTGAACCTCAAGTAATAAAAAAAAAATTCCTTCTTAAGCAAACATGCTAATGTCCTCAGATGCTGATTAATTATAGAGAAAATTCTCTCAAGCATCAGATCATTTTGTTATCTGAAATTGTTCTTTGGCATATTTCTGTGTAAAGGTAACCAAGAACACAATATGGTGCAGATGCCTCCCTTGTTACCTTAACTAGTAACTCCAGAAATTAGCACTACATTGTAAGGAAGACTGTAGCACAATTACCTATGTTATGGACAAAATGAAAAGAATTTCTATTTTCAAGATCATGCAGCTTCTAATGACCATTTTAAATTATTCCTTATTCCACATGAGAAATGTCTAGCCTACAGAATTATCATATTAGCCTTACACTGTGGGATAATTAGAAGCTCAATGCAACAGCCCCCAAAAGAAAAGAACTTCTTCCAACAGATATTCTTCAGAGGATCGTTTGAAGCATTTGTATGGCAAACTGACCTTGTGCAATGCATTGATATTTTTCAAATACACTGGTATTTTTCAGTCTGATGTAGTCAGTGTGTAACCTTCTTACTCTTGGAAAATGTCTTACCTAAAATCAAAGTAACTATTCAGAGCAATGCCATAAAATCCAAACCATGTGTCAATTCAAACAACTACTGCTACAGTACAAACCTTTCAACCCGGATTTTTTTTAACCAGGGCATCTCCCTGGATGCTAATTTAGCGCAATTATACTTAATGATAGTGAGACTACTTAGCAGAGATGCATTCATTCAGTGACACAGGGAGATTAGTATTAGCAAGCTTTTAAATCAGCATGAAATGCCAAACTTCACTTCCATCATGTACAGAGATTCCAGCATTAATAAGGAAATAAATGCCAAAGAAAAATGAAATGCTGTGAGTAATCTCCTTACTGCCATATTTCTTTCTTTGTTGGTACTTTATGCCACAGTGATTCTTTTCAGAAACTTCTTTGCCTCTCCTTATCAGGATAGCTGTTTAATTGCCTTGGCTGTCTACCAGTTCAGAGCATTCTACTGAATTAATGTTGAGATTTGCTGAGCTTTACCCACACAGATGAGCAGATGTGGCATTCCTGCAGGACTTTCAATAAGAAAAACAAAGCTCATGCATTGAAGAGTACAGGTTAAAGCACTGAAGGAGATGCCTTGCAGATATTATTAATTCCTTAATGTACCAGACTATCTGTCTTTTCAATTTTTAATCACTGCTACAAATCACAATTGGAAGAAATTTCTGTCTCATTTATGTGAAGTGATTGTCTCTGTATAAGAAGGATGTGAGAATTAAGGTATAGAAAATAAGAAAATAATTTAAAAATAATTAAAAATTCCAAAATAAACAAGAAGTGGCTAAGTCATTATTAAAAATGCACAGAAAGTAGGCTAGCTTTTTTTTTTAACCAGCAGTATAACATCAATTCAAATTACTCTAGGAATAAGGGCACAAACTCAATTTCCATTTATCCCTGCAGGTTATCTTTGTGCCACATAAACAGAGGAAGAGATGTCTACTGGAAGAAAGAAAGAAGAATAAATTACTTCTAGAAAAGAACTAATGAACAGTTAATTAGTATCCTTTCTTTCAGCAACCTATGCTGAAACCTTTCAAGACCTAAGCAAAGCCTGGCTGTTCCTGTAGAGATTTCTGGAGTGTGCAAGAACAGGATGGTCCTCTTTGCAAGGTCTGTGCCTGAACACAATTCCTTTTCTGCTGAGTTTTGTACCTGCTGCAGCAATCTCCTTTATTCTCCATATGTCCGTTCTCAAATCAGAGCACTGTGCTGCTCACTCTTGACTTGGATATACTCAACTGGCCCAGGACAACATTTCACAAAAGGGAACTTAGTAGTAAGGCTTTCTTGCAGAAAAATCATTACTAGTGACATTTCCAATTTGGTTTATTTCAGATAATGTGAAGGAATGGAAGGAAGAGGTACAGCACCTAGGTTTTGTTTTGTGCTTCATGAACCTCAGAGTTTTCCTCTGTTGTGGTATGTTTTACATGTTCCTTTTCTCACTGACTAAACTCTTCCACTGATGATATGGAATTTCCTCCCTCCGCAGGAATTTCCTTCCTTCCTCCTGTCTTTTGGCATCTTTTGGAGCAAACGTGTAGGCCCATTTCTCAATTGCTCAGTGCAGCTCTTACAGGACCACTTCCTTACTCAGATAATGGCCTCAGCTTGCTGGCTAAATCATAGCAAGAAGTTTTTAAATTAAGTTGAGGATAGAAACAAACTTTTGCTATAAAGACAGATTTCTGTGTGATACTTTCTTCAGTGGATGAGAGGGTTATTCTCTACTCCACTCTCCAATCACTGAGGAACCAGCTGTGTTTGTTAAGCTGTTTGTTATATTCCCTTGTTTCTTCACAGCTTCTTTTAGGACCTGTGTTCTGCTGGATTGCTCCCAAGAAGAAATATACACCTTGGCACGTCAGTTCCAGAAGCTGTAAAAGTGTAATGAACTGAACAGAAAACAGTACTTGAGTAAAAACACAAATTCCAGCCTTCTTTCCTCTCCATTTCCACACCAGACCTAAACTCCCTGCAAAGCACACACAGATCTTATCTCTGGAAAAGAGTCCTAAAGACTGAAATATTACACAGCTTCCCCACTTGTCTGTACCATCTTCCTTTCACTGCATCGTCAGTGTCCTGCCGCCCTTCTCACCACTCCCTCCACAAACATCAATGTCTTCTATGAAGAAGCAAGAGTCTCCCTGCACATGGCCTCTCAACTAGAAGATGCTGCAATCACAAATTCCTAAACCTGTTTTTTATATATACATAACCTGCCCTTGCTAGTTTTGACAGGCAAAAGAAACTAAACCGAAAACAATACTGAGAACTTGGCCACACTCAATGTGTACAATGTGATGACTTACAAAAACGGTGTGTGTTACTCAAATTGTGTTTCAGAATAGTTACAGCATCCAAATGCCACAGAGAAGTTCCCAGACTTTCCTCCCTATTACAAAATTATGAAAAATATCTTGTAAAGTAGGAAGGCAGGTGTACAAAAGACAAGTATGAAATAAACTATGTAGGATCTCCCGAGTATTTTCTTTATCTCAGCTTCTAAAATTCCTAACAAGCTGTTAATAATGTAAAGAATTTCAAACGGTGAACAAAGTGCATGTTGCTTGCAAAAAGAAAAAGTGATTTATTATTTATAAGAAGATCTAACACATAAGTACTGGATGTCAATTCCCTGCTAGTTCAGGCCCTACTGACAGGTTGCTGGGAGTACACATCATTTTTCTCCCCCAGTCTGATTTGATTGCATTCATCTTCATTTGATTTCATTCATAATTGACAAATCCATTCATGATTGACAAATCCATTTACTTTTTGTATTTGCAATAAAATACTGTGCAAACAAAATTTGGGAATACATACATGCAGAAAATCCTGTATCAACATGGACTGGCTGCCAGATTTGAAACTGATTCACTGATTAGTTTGAGAGTGATTAATTTAAATCTCTGATTTAAAAACAGATTTGTGAAATGAGAACTGGCAGTATAAATAGGACTTCAGGCAGCTAAAATTTTTCCATCTGCAGACTCCGTTCTGTAAAGTACAACAGTGCAATATAAGGTGAGGATGTTGAGGTGATAAATTTTTTAGCCCTTCTCACAATGAAAAATGATTATTGTTAACATATTTTCTGAGGAAAAAGTGACCAAAGCCCAGTGTTTTAACTCAGGGGAACAGGAAGAGATGGGCAAATAGGATACAACAGATATATTTTTTACATACCTACATTTGGAAGTTCAGCATGCTGCATGTACACTATTTCTAGTCAGGACACAACAAGCTAAATTGCATTTTGGGTTCAGAAAATAAAATAACTCCCTGTGGAGAATTCAGTGGTTTGTGGGTTTAAGTGCATCTTGACTAGAGGCTTGTCCCAGCATTGCAATGTCACACCTGGCATTTACCCTCTCCATACAGCTCTGTCCAGTAAGCATGCAAAACCCATAGGAAACCTGTAGTCCAGGCCCTGCCATGGCTTCCAAAGGCCGGCACATTGCTCTGATTGCTTTGCAATTCTCCAGGAACAGTATAGGAGGGAGCCTACATAACGAACACACTAATAACAAAATATGAGGACTACAGCTAGAAGTGATTCTTGATACTATGGTTTGTTTTGAAAGAAATTATGATGAAAAGAGGTCACAGCATTTTAAAATGTTCTTTTGAATAGATTTAAAAGAAAACCACCCTAGGAAATCTTTTTCTTTTTTTTTAATTAGGATTACAGCTGCATATTTCCCCCTTGAACAGAATAAACACACATCCTCTTGCATCTCTGAACTGTTCCAATGTTGGTTGTTTGCCTTGGGATACTGCCCTCTGATTCTGCTTCCTTTCTCAAAGTCAAAATCATAGGAGTAAATTAATGGAAGCTCTCCTTGTTTTAATTTATGTACATATATTATCACATCTATGGCCATTTTCTAGTTGACCCTTTCATCCATTTACATCTGGCCAGACATGATGGGAGCTGCCAGTTTTTCATAGAAAATGATAAACAGCCAACTGCAAAATATGTGTTTAGGTTTTTTTCTACTTTCCTTTTCCTTTCAGAAAAAAACCAAAAAACTAGGTGAAATTCAACACGCATGTAATTGTCTGCTAAGACCAAGGATCCTGTGTTGCCCAGGCAAATTGCCCAGATATTTGGAAGGTGCTCAGTTGGTGATTGATGTTCTCCTTGGTGAGCTTGTTTTGTGAAGTACTCTTGCAGCCCCGAGAAAATTCCATTCTAGTATTTCTTAGGGACATATGCAATGTGAATAACAGTACAAATCTGTTGCATTGCTCTGTCTTTCTAGGTAAGAGAAGAAAATTGCCTCCTTTTCTTATTCAGTATTACAGGCTGCCTACAAAAGTGAAAAACTGCTATGAGCATACCAAGTAGCAATCATGATTTAGAAGAGATTTCTCTTGTTTTACAAAAGTCAGGTGACACAGAGCTGACCTAAACTGATTAACACTGTCTTAGATTATAATCAAATTAACAACTGAAGGGAGAAATCCTACAGACCTCATAATTAGTCCCTCCTCAGCAACTCCACTTTGATTTGGAGTGAGTTGAACCCTGCTGGTATGTAGAATCAGGAAGAATGGCTTCTGACTCCTTACTGCTTTCTGCCTAGGAAAAAAAAATATGATGTTAATACTTGACTAACAGGCACATATAATGGTCCAGTTTTGCTGGGCTTATTCACTGCTCTTCAAAGACACAAAAAGCACAATTTTTTGTTTCTTAAAAAAAAAAAAAAAGAGAGACAGAAAAAAGAACAAGAAATTGTTTTGCAAAAACTTCTTCATTTTTTGAAATAAGCTCATGGCAATCTGTCTTCATTTAAACTGTAAGGGAACTGGCTTGGGTCCTGGAATAGATTCTGGTTCCTTTTAAAACAGGGAAATAGTTCCTAAACACATTGAGCCACATTTTGGAATTTATGAAGCAGAACACAAAACTAAGAGCTGGCAACACTTGATGGTAATGAGGCAGTTCTTACATTAGACTCCATTACAGGATCAGCTAACGATGTTTTCCAGCAGCTGGAAAATGGAATCATCTCCAGTCTGGGAATGAAAAATCTGTCTTCAAAATTATCTGCTTTGTACTCCAATGTACAATTAGTTTAAAATGGAAGCATAGCAGAATTATGCTTTTTAATGAAGGAAAAAAATATGTTTTCTTTGTACATTGCTGCTACGCCAGCTGAGCCGTAGCACATGGTGGAAAATGGGTCTAGTCTGTGCTTTGCTCCATGTTTTGAAATAGCCAATTCTGCTCTTGTACACGGCGAAAACTGTCCTTGTTTTTAAAGAGCACAAGGACGGAGATTGTGCCTCACTCTCTGGTGCAAAGAAGACGCTTTTCTTTTGCCTTCTGACTCGTGCTGGGCCCTCCCTGTCTTTGCAGACACCCGTTCCATTTCCCTCTTGCTCTTGCATGACTGGTTCTGTGGTATTTCCTTACAAAGGCACATTTGTTATCTGATGCAAATCCCCCAATGGTACTTCCTACTGTAATTTTGCCATCAGATGGTTTCACAATTAAAGCATGGCCTATGAGGAGCTGTAAGACTTTTTCCTATTTCAGAGTTGGAGCGCGGTTGCCAACACTAACCATTTGCTGCATGCTAGAGCTGTGATTCCTACCCACCACCTCACTCTCGTTCTTCTTTCACTACTCAGATTCTGACCAAAGTCAGCTGTGATAACTCTGTTTTTCAGTCAGTGTATTGGTCAGGCAGTGGATACATATATTAGCAGAATCTCTAAATGGTTCAGGGCTGCACTATGCAAACACCATCACTCCAGAACATGCAAGTCCTGTAGGAAGCATTTTCTTCCTAGGTTGCTTTCTGTTGCTCTTCAAAGTATTATTATCCAAAGACGTTACGCGAACTATTTCACTCCACTTGATATCCCCAAATTTAAAAGAGACATAGATTAATTAAAAGCAACCAAGTGACAGCAAAACAGATTGGCATCCTACATGGCCTTTTTAAAGAATACAGAGAGCCACTGACCACAACCCTCTGCCTGTGATCATCCGACCAATTCTTTATCCACCAAACAGTCCAGCCTTCAAATCCATATCATGTAGAGATAAGGATGTGGTGTGGACCTGTGCCAAATGCCTTGCACAAGTCTAAGTAGCTGACGTCAGTTGCCCATCCTTTGTCCACCAACACCATCACTCCATTGTAGAAGAGCACCAAATTAGTCAGAAAAGATTTGCTCTTGCCGAAGTCAGGCTGGCTGTCATGGACTACCTTCTCATCTTGTATGTATCTTCATATAGCTTCCAGGAGGACCTGTTCCACGATCTTCTCAGATATATGGATGAGTCTTCCAAGCCCTTAGCTCCCCAGGTCTTCCTTTCTCCCTTTCTTAAAAATAGGAGCAATGTTTCCCTTTTTTCAGTCACTGGGGACTTCGTCTGTCAGTCATGACCTTTCAAATGTGATGGAGAGTAGCTTGGCAACCACATCAACCAGTTCCTTCAGGACCCTGGTTTACATGTCATCCAGATCCATAGACTTGTACATGTTCAGCCTCAGAAGGTCTCAGAGTTGCTCTTTTCTTACAGTGGGAAGGATTTTCTGCCCCAAAATCCTGCCTAGAGGTTCATGAACTGACTGCCAGTGAAGACTGAGGTAAAGGATTTACTAGGTAATTCAACCTTCTCCATGTTTGTTGAAGCCAGTTCTTTCTCATTTATGAGAAGGGGTATACTCTTATTTGCCTGTCTCTGCTGACCAATGTTCTTGTAGAACCCCCTCTGGCTATTTTCACATCTCATTTCAAGTTCAATTGCATGTGCACCTTGTCTTTCCTGATCTCATCTCTGCAAAGCTGGACAGCATCCCTGTATTCTTCCCAGGCCAACCATTCGCCATTCCTGCTTCCACTGCCTGTACATTTCCTTCTTCTCCCTTGGTTTAACCAGAAGGTCCTTGTTCCTGTTGATTTCCTGCCTTCTTTTCTTGATTTCTTGTCTGGGGACAGAGAGCTCTTGTGCTCTCAGACTGGAAGAGCTGCCAGTTCTGTTCCATTCCTATGTCCTTAAGGACAGTTTCCCAGGGGATCTCATCCAGAATTCCTTAAACGTCTGTAAGTTCACTTTCCTGAAATTCAGGATCCCGACTGCTCTTCGACAGATCCTTATTTCTCGAGATCACAAACTCAGTCCGAGCATAGTTGCTACAGCCCAGAGCGCCATCTACAGGCTCCCCTTGATCAGGTGGCCTATAGCAGACCCTGACCACTAGGTGTCCTTTATTGGTCTGGTTCTTAATTTTAATCCACGAACTCTCAACCTGTTCATGGCTTTTCTTTTTTTTAAAGGCGGCTCTTCACAATGTAAACACTTCTTAACATAGAAGGCAACACCCCGCCTCTGCTGCCCTGCCCATCCCTTCTAAAAAGTTTGTAAACCTCAGTCATAATATTCCAGTTGTGTGATTCATCCTGCCATGTTTCTGTGATAGCAATTAGGTCATGGTTTTCTAATTACACCATGGTTTCCATCTCCTCCTGCTTATCTTCCATGCTGCATGCGCTGGTGTAGAGGCACTTCAGCTGGATTATGAGCTATGACACCTTCTAAGAGGAGTGCTCCCAAATTCCTCTGGGACAAATCTGAGGTTTCCCCCTGCTGCTTCCCAAAGTGATGGTGTTCCTTAGCTCTTCTCCATCACTCAGAAGTACATCCCTCTCCCCCACTGAATCTAGTTTAAATCTCTGCTAATCAGTCCAACCAACTTGCTGCCAGAACATTCCTGCCCATCCAGGTCATTTGCATCCCATCCAACACTAACATGCCTGGTTTATCAAAACTGCATCCAGGATCATAGCAGCCAAAACCCCAAGTGTGACACCAGTCACACAGCCATTCCTTCAACTGATCTGTTCTCTCCTTCTACCCAGGTCCCAGTCACCAGCTGGGAGGATCAAGAAGAACAATATCTGTACTCCTGGTCCCTTCAACATGCTGCCAAGGGAAACAGTCTCTTTTAATATTCTTTAATTTCCTCATTGCAGCCTCCTGTGACCTAACTTGAAAAAGTAGGAGTGGATAGTAGTCCTCTGGCTTTATCAAAACTGGTAATCTCTTCTCGATTTCTCTCCTCTCCAGTTATGCCTTATGCAGGGCACAAATAGGAGGGAGGCTACAGAAAACAGGAAATCGTGAGGGGTGTGGGGAGAGCAGAGCTGAACTGCAGCCAGCAAGGATTATGAAAAGAAGTACCTCTTTAAGATGGAGCTGCATGTACTTTCTTGCTGAGGCTAGTGAATACTAGCAGCCTTACTGAAATCAATAGATAAGCAAGCTGGGCAAAGCAAGCAGTGAGTCAAAGCCAGTTGTTGGCTTTGTATGAGTATGCTGTCATACTCTTACTTGCCATTTTAAAAACACAAGTTAGGAATTTCTAATGCTAGAGTACTCTGTAAGCTAGACAATAAGCACGCTTTCTTAAAGCAGGTGAGCTGGGAAGGCAGAGGTCAAAGAAACTTGAAAATACTTGACTGGAAATAGTGTTGAGGAGTCACAATGCTGGTAGACTGCTGAACCAAGATATGATGTGCTTCAGCTGGAAAATGTAAAATGCTGGCAGGAAAAGAAGCAGGTATGTCAGCTGCAAAGGCCAATCTGAGAGCAAGAAACAGATTGCTGAAGGAAGATACCCACGTAAGTCAGGCAACTATTTATTATGGTTTATAGTAAAACTTGGCCCAAAGCCCCAAACATTTTTAAATATACTAGGTGAACACTACAAGTGTGAATGAAAATGCAGCTGTAGCTTCAGAATAATTTTATAGCAACTTAAAATTACTGTACTTTAAAGAGTGACTAGCACTTTGAATTTCAGAGACAAGCAAAGTAAGGGGCAGTAAGCTCTGAATCAGAAAACAAAGAAAGAAAATCTCTTCCAACAAACCAATAACACTAACTTTCTTGGTGATCGCACAAATGTTTTTGCTGTTCAGATACAGAGGCTGCAGTTCTTGGTCTATGTGTCGACCAGAACATATTGGGTTTGCAGCAAGCTGCTGGCTGAATTTTAGCCCCCATCTACTAGAATTCAAACAGTTGTTAGCAGCCATTTCATATCATGTTTCACAGCTCAGAGAGAAGGAAAAAAAAAAAAGACTTCCTGGTGTTTGCAAATAGAGTGATATGGCTGAAAGACTGGGTATGCTTTTCTGTGCTGGAGAAGATCTGATTTAACACTCCTGGACCCAATTTTACCTTCATTATAGCCAACTGACAACTTGCCAGAGAATTCAGTGAGCAGAAATCAGCTCTCTTACTGGGAGCAGACAGAAAAAGAATAAGCTGCTACATGTGAGAATATAATTTACCCAGCATGTTAAAAAGAAGTGAATTTCCAGGAGTTCTATTATATAAGGGGTTCTTTAAAAACACTGGAGTGGAGAATTAGGATGCATACATGACAGTGCATCAATACGAGTAAAGCTAAGTGCTCAGGAAAGCTGCAAAATCTTTAGTGAACAGCCTCACACTAATGGATGTATTGGAGGTGGTTTTCTTGAACCAGAAGAGAGAAAAGAACAAGAGAGAAGAGCCTGAAAATGGAAGAAGGCAAGTAGGAAAATAAATATTTCCAAAAATGAATGCGCTGTTATTTTAAGATCCCGTTATCACCAGCTTAATTATAACTGGATTTATTAGAGAGGGCTCTCTCGTGAGCAGTAGCATTTTGCCTTGCTCTTTCTTACTCTCTGACTGCTCCCAGAAGCGGCAGCTATGTTGCAGTTCTTGAAGTACCTGCTCATAAGAACAAAGCCTGCAGGGAAGCCTGGTGTTTTTATTTTCACCTGCTTTGTGTGCAAGGAGCAAAGCTTTGGTTTATTACCTGCCTCCCACAGCTCCTTAAAAGCTGAGGAGCTTTTCTTTGTATTTGTATAGTTACAGTAGCTATGGCAGCTGCACATTTATTAGGTGCAGCATACTCCAAAAATCAGGCTGGGTAACTACATTGAGTGGAAGGTGAAGAAATGCACAAATGTCTATCCAAAAAAGCCAACAATCTGTTTACTGAGAGCAGGTAATGGAGAAGCTAATAAAAAATAGAAACTGCCTTGTGTTTTGCCTGAAAGCAAGATGATAGACCAACAACTCTGATATTGCACCTGCAAACACAGTTTATGCATACGTCTAATTGATATTTCTCGCCATCCCAGACATCTGATTATATCTCATTCACCACAGACAGGCCCAACGATTCAACAATTTTCTTCTCAAAACTGAATAACCAAAAGCTTCGGCAATATTAGTTGTCATAGGCAGGCTAGAATTTAGAGCTAAATATAATGGGTGATGCAGGGAAAGTTCAAACAAAAAACTCTAGGACTGGATTTCCCTGAACTTTCAGTGTTTTGGTGAGGAAGGGTAAGAAAGGGCAGTGTTTGGTGTCACAGCATAAACATCACTGCTTCTGTCTGCATCAGGTGGTAGACATTAGAAGAATAAGATGCAATAATTTTTAGTGAATTCACAACCCAGGATCATCTGCAGAGCAGACTGTACGCTCTTGTTCTCACTCTTTCCTCATGAAGACACATCCAGTATCAAAGTGGTTGCTCTGGCACATGGTTCTGGAGACTTTCTTCAGACTACCTGCTCTCAAAGAGCTCACACTCATGTGATCTCCGTTAGAAGGAAATCCTTTTAATTTGACGCAGATTTCAATCTGCAATCAGGACGGTTTTTTTTGGTTTTTTTTGTTTTTTTGTTTTGTCTTTTGTTTTTTTTCTTGGAAATGTGTTCATCCCCTCATTCTGTTCTATCCTTTGCCTCTAAAATTCCAGCAAAGGGCAATTTAGTAAGCACATGCATTTACAACAATCAGCCTTATGGTACCTGAAGCTTGAACAAACCCTTCTGTTGTCTTGTAAAATTATTATCTGCTGAGACATAAAAGACATAAACCTGTGGGCTATAGGAAGATGGGGAACCAAAGTCCTGGAAACAGTGAGCTACAGATTTTTATGGTAGGTCTTTGTCTTCCGTAAAATCTATCTATAAAAACAAACTTCCAGAACTGCTGAATTAGATCTTCCCCAATTCGAACCACTTAAAAAATAATAATAATAATAATAATAACAATAATAATAATGAAACTCAGCTTCCAGGAAAGCCCTGCTTGCTGCACGAGTCCTGGAAATACTTAATATTTTAGACAGCTCTTTGCTAGATGGGAATGCCTGAGCCATGGGGCATCTCGAGGCGTTGGCATCCTGTAAGAGCAGCAAGGCAGAGAAAGCACTGCCACCCAGTGGCTGCCGAAGGCAAATCGCTGGTGGACCGACCTGCAGACTTCACTTCTTTGAGATTTGCGGTACAAAGCTGTCCGCAGCAGGACCAGAAAGGCTGCACTCTGGTAATAGAAGGACAAAAAATTGCAGCACGCCACATGTTCCTTGTTATCCTGACAAGAGAACAGGTTGTACCCAGATCCTGCAAACACATGGAATGGACATCAACAATTACCTATGCCACACTGCTCAATATTCCGGAGAAAAAGTAAAACTGCTTGAATTGTACAGGATATGTAAGAGCTACATCCACAAAACTGCTCATCACTGAAAAACACAGGGGACTGCAGAGATGCAGTGAGGACATGATAGCCAGCACCACGTTCTTAGTGTTGCATGCTGCATACTGGCTGGGTTACTCAGACATCCACCTTGATGTTTCTGAGTACACGGTGTGGGAGTGCATCTACTGCAGCTAGAACAGAATGTGTAGGTGACTGAAATCAAATTTGTTTAAAATAAATATAACTTTCCTCTTCCATACTGATTCACACTGCGTTTTGTGAAATTAATTTTGTACATGGCTGTTTTGAAAGAAGCATCCAGGTGCAAGTGATTCGCATTCAGAAACAATCACCACAAGACTACACAACAAATACTTCATGGCCATACTTCATAGCCTGGGGATTTCAAGCAGTCCTGCTTTGAGTGCTCATAAAGAAAGTACACTTTAAAGCATTTCTCAGCTCAGACTTTCTCCCATTTAAATCCCTGGGATCACTGCTACATTGCAGGCAGAGAGGTCAGTCTAAATCAGCAAAGCAGGCTGTCAGAAGATTTGATAGAGCAGAAGGGTGTTGCAGAAGGTTTAAAAACACTTATACAACTAATCAGGGGTGAGAAGCACAAATCTTGAGTCACTCCCAAGTTAATAATAAGAAAAGTGCCATACAGATAAAGTCAACTGATAAATTAACACACCTATTCAAAGGCAAACACACATATATCCAAAACACTCAAAGAACCAATTGAGTGAAAATCTTCCAGGCCATTTGCAGGAAAACATGTGAATTTGAGTTTCAAAGCTTTGTTTTGACTCCGAGATGCTTGAGTGAAATGTTGCTGAATCTGTTTTTTCTTCCAGAGAAGTTTTGGTTTCATACAACATAAATGCCTCCAAGCTGGAATTTATTAACTTGAGCCTTTTATCCATAGGAAAATTAGGATAATAAGCATTACATTAGGCATTCCCAGCCAGTTCAATGCTGGCCATGAAGATGTTCCTCTCTGGTCGTCTCAGGCTTTCACCACACTGCCTCTGGCATCTCTTCACAATAGAGATGGGCGCTCAGCCATGGGAAGGAGCACAAGCACTCATGCCCTCTGTTTAGGGAGGTGTAGGCTCTTAGGTCGTTAGCAGCAAGGTGTTTCCTGTCCGAACAGCATGTGAGGTGCATCAGCAGGAGGGGCTGCCAATGGAAATTTTCTGATTATCCAGTCACTAACTGTTAAGAAAATGCCCAGCTTGCCAGTAGCCTGAAAATGAGACTTCCAAGGGCCATTTGGGGGGCAAATGGGCAAGCTGCAGCTCTAGAAGGGAACCATGGCTGAGTACTGATCTGATACCAGCAGGTTTTGTTCTTCTCACTCCCCTAACACTAGTCCTAGCTCTACCACAGCCCTGGAACTGAACTGAAATTTCTGCTGAGCTCCAGCAGCAGCCTGCAGGTGGGATTCCTCCCAGCAGGAAGCCTTCCTACCACAATCCCAAGCACTCTGGGGACAACCTGATTAAGTGACTTCACACATGGCTGGTGGAAATCACGTATTTGAGTAAGTTACTATCATACTTTTACCAGTGTAGGGAACCAAATTTCATTTCTCTAGTAATGTGAGTGTTAGAGGGCGATGAAACAACACAGAATCATAGAATATCCCAATTTGGGAGGGCCCTCCAATGAGGATGATTGAGTCCAGCCTCCAGCTCCACACAGGACCACCCAAAATCCAAACCCAATGTCTGAGAGCGCAGTCCAAATGCTCCTTGAACTCCAGCACTTGGGGCTGTGCCCTGGGCAGGCTGTTCCATGCCCACCGCTCTCTGGCACAGACCCTGTCCCTCACTCCCAGCTGTCCCTCTCCTGGCACAGCTCCATTCTCTTGTGTCTGGTCGCTGTCACACAGAGCAGAGCTCAGCGCTGCCCCTCTGCTCCCTGTGAGGAGCCGGAGCTGCAGAGGCCATGAGGTTTCCCCTCAGCTCCTCTGCTCTGCACTGAGCAAGCAAACACATGGAGCGCAGTCATTCCTGATAGGTCTTCCCCTCTGGACCCTTTGCCATCAGCAACCCCAGGCAATGCTACAGGCTTGGGTCAGAGTGGCTGGAAAGCTGTAGGATCTGGGGTGTTAGTGAGCAGATAGCTGCACATAAGCCAGCAGTGTGCACCGGTGGCCAAGAAGGCCTACAGCATCCTGGCTTACTTACCAGAAATAGTGCAGCCACCAGGAGCAGGGAGGTGATCGTCCCTCTGTTCTCCGCACTGCTGAGTGCTGTGCTGTTTTGAGCCCTCGCTGCAAGAAAGACATTGAGGCCCTGGAGTGCATTCAGAGAAGGGTAGCAAAGCTGTGAGGGGTCTGAAGCACGAATTTTATGGGGAGTGGCTGAGGGAGCTGGGATTGTTCAGTCTGGAGAAGAGGAGGCTCAGGGGAAACCTGATTGCTCCCTACAGCTGCCTGAAAGGAGGTGTGGTGAGGTGGAGGTCGGCCTCTGCTCCCAGGTAACAGTGTTGGGATAGGAGTTAAGTTGCACCAGGGGAGGTTCAGGTTGGATATGAGGAAGAATTTATTCTGAGAAAGAGCAGTGAGGCAGTGGCACAGGCTGCCCAGGGAGGTGGTGCAGTCACCGTCCCTGGAGGTGTTGAAGAACCGTGTGGATGTGGCACTGAGGGATATGCTCAGTGGGCATGGTGGGGGAGTCTCTGATAACGGGGATAAGAAAAAGCTACCCCCAGGTCACCGCCGAGAAGCTCCCCGACCCCAGGCCGACATGCCGCCGCAGGATGTGAGCTCACGGCACCGCCCCGTCCCCGCCCCGCTCATGGTGCCGGTTCCGCCGCTCTCAGTCCCGCCTCGCTGCATCCCGCGGCCGGGGGGTGTCCCGGCTCTGCCAGGCCGGGCGGGCTGCGCCGGGCCGGGCCTGGCCGGTGAGCGCCACGAGGGGCCGAGGGGCCGCCCGAAGCCGGGGCTTGTGGGGGAGCCCAGAAAGGGGCGGGAGTGGCGGCGACGGGGCCCTCGCGGGACCGCGGCCTGGGGGAAGCGGAGGCTGCGCGGGAAAGGGGGTAGATCGCGGTCGGGCCGAGCCTATCCGGGTTGAAACGTTCGTTGTCTTTTTCCCGAGGTGGACGGGTGCCGCCCGTCGCTGCAGGAGGGGCCGCCATGGGGAACCAGCTGGCTGGCATCGCCCCGTCGCAGATCCTCTCGGTGGACAGCTATTTCTCTGACATCCACGACTTCGAGTATGACAAAAGCCTGGGGAGCACCCGCTTCTTCAAGGTGGCCCGAGCCAAGCACCGGGAGGGGCTGGTGGTGGTGAAGGTGTTTGCCATCCAGGACCCGACCCTGCCCCTGACGAGCTACAAGCAGGAGCTGGAGGAGCTGAAGATCCGGCTGCACTCGGCACAGAACTGCCTCCCCTTCCAGAAAGCGACCTTGTCCGAGAAGGCCGCCATGCTCTTCAGGCAGTACGTGCGGGACAACCTGTACGATCGGATCAGCACGAGGCCGTTCCTCAATAACATCGAGAAGAGGTGGATCGCTTTCCAGATCCTGACGGCGGTGGACCAAGCGCACAAATCTGGAGTCCGCCACGGGGACATTAAGACTGAAAACATCATGGTGACCAGCTGGAACTGGGTTCTTCTGACGGACTTTGCCAGTTTTAAGCCAACTTATCTTCCTGAAGACAACCCTGCTGACTTCAACTATTTCTTCGACACGTCGCGGAGGAGGACGTGCTACATCGCTCCCGAGCGCTTTGTCGATGGCAGCATGTTTGCCACGGAGCTGGAAAACATGCGAGATCCCTCCACTCCTCTAGTAGACCTGGCCAACAGCAACCAGCGAACAAGGGGGGAGTTAAAACGTGCAATGGACATCTTTTCTGCAGGTACTGAGAGAGATCCGTGTGGCCTTCATGATTGCTGGTCAGGGGTGCAAAGAAGCTTGTTATTTTTTTTGTTTGTTTGATCTTTTTACTTTTTATCTTTTGCTTTTTTATTACAGCAGGCCTGGAGAACAGCTTGTGGAAAAAAATTGCTCACCTTAAGCATTAGAATTGGTCTCTAAATCTTTCAGTCACAGAAAAAGTACAGGCACAGTAGAGTAAGCTGCATGACTTAAATGCATCCCCATGTTATCTGAGGAGCGCAGTCAGTCACCATTCTGTTACAACTTATCTCTGCCCTGGAAAAGAGGTGGCTCTATAGGTCACAGACTGTGATCATCAGGTCGTTGAGGTCCTGGGGATGCAGCGTATGCTTCATGGGACCATGAGGAGGAGCCAGTCAGTGGCACACTTAAGATCTGACTGCTTGGGAACAGAGCTGCTTTCCAGCACAATTTGGCAATATTAGCTTCAGAATCTCCTTGTCATTATATTTTTCCCAAAAGCAGGAAGTTGGATAACTCAGTAAGCTCCTGTCATGGTTCCACTCAGAAATTCTTGATAGAGTCCTGCTGTGGGAGCCTGTCCTGAGTCACAGGATTGTTTTGAGTCATATGTTTGGCCTGTTAGAAAAAAAATAATTAAAACCTGAAAGTTGAAGTAATGCTTCGCTTTCACCAGCCAAGTTTCCAGGCTGCTCCACTGACAGGACAAGATCCTAACCATGGAAAGCAAACTGCAGGAACGGGACACAAGCCTTTGAAGAGAGCATGCATCATACACACAACAGGGTGCCGTGCCTGCCAATCTTCTTATTTCTCACTGTTCTTAGGAACTTGTTTGAGTGAATGTATGCTGCCCTTAGCATTACTGTTCTTCTTACTTTGACCTCTTGCTTGGCCCATGCTTGATTTACTGGCACTCTTCCATGTAACGGTGATGTGGGTTCATTTTCTGATGTATTTTCCATTTGGCAGGTGGTTGAAATTAGTACCTCATGTTTCCTAATTGCAAAATTCTTTGCTGTTGGCATGTTTGAAACAGAATGCCTGAGAGGCATTTCAGAGGCAAAATACCTAGGAGGCAAAAGCCAGTTTTTGGAGATGGAGATGCTACCCTTTTCCACAAGTTAATTAGTCAGCTCATTAGCCTTGTTTTTAATCAAGCTAAGGTTCACATAGGATCTGTTTTTATCTGTACAGAAAACAAAATTTCTGTTTGCAGTTCCCTCACATCTTTGACTTTTTTTTTCCCCCCAGGCTGTGTAATAGCAGAGCTGTTCACAGAAGGCGTCCCCTTGTTTGATTTATCTCAGCTTCTGGCTTACAGAAATGGCCTCTTTTCCCCTGATCAAGTCCTGAACAAAATTGAAGACCGCAGTATCAGAGAGCTGGTAAGGGTGGGCTGCAGCATCAGAGCCATTTCTCTGGTCTGTGTGTAGTTTATTTCACCTCTTTTTGTGACAAATTGCTTGTTGATTTTGACTGTGAGTTTGGGTTGTTGTTTTTTTTTTTTTGCATTATGAATGTCTAAACCATTAATCTTTCTCTCCTGCTCCCTCCTTCTTCTGCCTTTCTCAAGGTCACTCAGATGGTCCATCGGGAGCCAGATAAACGTTTAGCAGCTGAAGATTACTTGAAACAGCAACGTAACAATGCGTTTCCTGAAATATTTTACACTTTCCTTCAGCCTTATATGGCCCAGTTTGCCAAGGAAACATTTGTATCAGCAGATGAGCGTATATTGGTCATACGTAAAGATCTGGACAACATCATTCACAATCTCTGTGGCCATGATCGCACAGAGAAAGCCGAGGGAGAGACCAAAGAGAATGGGCTGGTTATCCTAGTGTCAGTGATAACTTCCTGTTTACAGACTCTCAAATACTGTGACTCAAAACTGGCTGCTTTGGAGCTGATTCTTCATTTAGCACCAAGATTAAGTGTTGAGATTCTTCTGGATCGTATTACTCCTTATCTGTTACATTTCAGCAATGACTCTGTGCCCAGAGTGAGGGCAGAATCAGTGAGGACACTAACTAAAGTTCTTGCTCTTGTCAAAGAGGTGCCACGCAATGATATTAACATTTACCCAGAGTATATCCTGCCAGGCATTGCACACTTGGCCCAGGATGAAGCCACTATCGTCAGACTTGCATATGCTGGTAAGCAGAAATCCATCAAAACTCCAAATCCTCTTTTTAATGTTCTTTCACTGTTTTGTGTGCTCACAGCCAAGGTAAGGGGTTAGGGCCTGCTGTTCAGGGAAGTAGCCCTGCCTCTGTGCTCTAGATAAACAAGGACATAACAAGTTAAAGTACTTCTCCTATCAACCATGTATTAACATATGCATGTGAACAGGGCTTTCAGAGCCTGCCCACCCTCTGCAGATTTAATTAATTTACCTTAGTTAGCATTTTGCTAGCTCAGATTGATTGCTTAGAGTGGCCCAACTGAAATTAATAAATATGAAACATCCGTAAAGCATCAATTTGTTGTTATATTTCAGTTGCTTTCCCACAGAATGAAATGTGGTGTTTAGGGCTGAGATTATCTGCTATGTAATAGTCTGTCTTATACCTGCAGAGATGTTTTCTTTGTATGTTTATTCAGATATTTGAATCGTGGTGGTTCAGGAAGCAATTTTGTAACAACACTCTTATTTACTATTTACCTCTTACTGTTACTTGCTTTGACCGTTTTGTTTACAAAAGCACAACTCAGTTGACAGTGTCCCAGGTGATGTGTTTGTGTGGCTTTTTTTTTTTTAAACTAACTATACTGATTGAGCTCGTTGTCAAAGGCATGGTGTAGATGGTGAGTCGAACCAGATAGCTAAGTCTGGTTAGGTTGCCTTCAATTCAAACAGTTTTCTTTTAAGAAAGCAATTGAATTTCAATAAGCTAATAAGTAAAGAAGAATATTAGGCTGACTTTAAAAATATATACGTGAGTTCAATGATGTTAACACACCGTTTGGAAGCAGCGTGACTGGTGACTTACAGGATTTAATGCAGGCTGTGTGCAGTTTCCATTGGCATGTTGATGTTGTCTTGGCCGAGATTCAGAATGGCTGCTTAAGTGGGACATAAGCCCTGGCAGGGTTATTCTTGTGCCAGCCATTGCCTGACCCGTATGGCCCGAGTTACTCCAGCAGCTTCCAAACACTGCAGGATGGTGCCAAATGGCATGGATAGACACAGGGACAAATGTCTTCAAATTGGATCCCAGCCCTCAAGGGTAACCCCAAGAATACAAATCCTAGCATAGTGGCATGTTGTTGTTTGGGGTTGTTATTAATTGGCCTTTCAGTTCTATCAAGCTACGTAGTCATCCACCTGAGATAAGGTGGTATTTTGGGCTACTTTAGAAGACTAAAATTAGTTGCAGTTACATTTGATATCCTTACAACTTTTCCACTCATTTACACAGTCTTACTGTGACAGGATGTGTCCCTAGGCACAGCAGAGCTACCAGGTACAAGTCCCTGAAGTACATTTTCAGAACATACTGTGTCATTTCAGTGCTATTTGCCCATCCTGACTGGTATTCCGAGTGGTTTTAATATCTCATAAGGGGACCATCAGAAGTCTGTAAATTGGCAAATTAGAACAATTCTAAACCAAAATGTTTTCCTTTGCAGAAAACATAGCTTTGCTGGCAGAAACAGCTCTAAGATTTCTGGAGTTAGTCCAGCTGAAAAATCTAAATATGGAAAATGAACCAAATGGTGAAGAAATGGATGAAACGTCTCACCCTAGTGATAACTATGATACAGGTAATGTCACTTCCACTTACCTGGCCTCTTTGTAATAGCAAATTGTACACCGGAGCTCCTAGGTAGCACTGTTTTTTGTTGTCACTTAGCCTTCCTATAAATGGGAAAAAATGCCTTACCTC